GCTTTGTGTTTGTGTCACGAAATTAACCTACAACGCTGGAGCTCGATTCGGCCACTGCCTCAGCTACTGCAACAGTTTACCATCCTAACGATATCTTCCTTTTCGTTCTAATTTTTCTTCGTGACGATTTTTTTACGAATTTAATCGCATCTAGGTTTTCGATTTTAGAGAACCCGACTGTTGGATCGAAGTCCTCCTTCAATCTCTCTGCACTTAAAATCAAAAGCCTCGCTAATTTGCATTTGCGCGGGCCTGAGCTAGGTGCATAAAGCATGGCGGCTTTGATTACCGGCGGAGATGGATCCACAGGTGAATGGTCCGATCTGCTATTCACCTACTAATTCCATCTTACAGCTCCTTCTTAGATCATATACTTAATTTTGTAGAAATCATGAATTTGTTTGAGATTCAAATTGCACTCGTATCGTAGGCCTCGATCGCTAATTATATATTGCGGCCTTGAGCGACGGTGCAGAAATCGAGAGCTGATTAATCGGCAGCGGCCAGACAACCGTCGGAATGGATCCACTGGTGAATGGTTCCTCTATGTTGCTCACCTACTGATTCCATCCCACAGTTTTTGCTCGCCTTTTTTATTTTTCCGCCGCTTATATCTTTGATTATTCTGTGAATTGTGCACTGGTCGCGTAGACCTCGCTGATTCTACTGGCGTGGCCTCTAAGCTAGGGTGCACAAAGCGACAGTTTACTTTACAGTCCTGGAGATGGAAAACTAAGGTGGCCGGCTCGACAGTGCTGCCTGCTTGCCTACTGAATGCCATCTCACATCGACTTTGTAAGTGAACTTTTTTAGAAAATTGCTTTTAAGACCAACTGGATTGGGATGCTATAATATGCTTAATTAGGTGGGTGGTTGGAATTATTAGACAATACTCTGTTTGCATTTGGCACATGAAATAATAATGGATAATGATTCCTGTTTAAAGTGAGGACCTAAAAAATCGAAGGTTCAATTAATAAATTGGTCGAGTTAACTTGGATTTGAAGGGTTTTTGAATTGAAGCTTGATTTGACTTAGAGAGAGGAAAATTAGTCAAAAATCACAATCTTATTTGACATCTATGAGACTAATAAATCATTGAAATTTGAAAGCAAAAATTAAAACTCAGATTTTATGTTAAGACTGGAAATTAGTTGTTGAACTTGATATGTTGACCATTTTCCAGTGTATAGAAAAACTGCATGATACAGATATTAGAATGGGCACTAGATGGAAATTACCCAAAATGGAAACCCAGCTGCATATGTCATACAAGTTGAGAGTTTTAGGGTCACTATTTTTCTGAAGCTCACAATCGGCAAACGTATGCATACGGATCTGTGTCGTCCAGCCAAGTGAAATGAACAATCATAAATTTTAATGTCACGAGTGATTCTAAGACGATTGTGACGTGTGAT